AAGTTCGTTAACGCCTTTCCTCAGGATTCCATCCTTATATCCCATATCTTTATGTTCTATCAATTGCTGCGTAGCAGAATATAATACAGCTCGCACTAACTCGTCATTATTTTCAAATTTGTTTGCTATATCAGATTTACTGCAATCGCTATCATGCAATACAGCTTTGCTCAACATGCGACATTGGATCAACTGCTGGATAAATGTATTTCGTATTTCTGCAAAATTATAATTTTATATGACTTAAAAACGAGATTTATTGTGACTATATTAACTGTATATATATATATATATATATACATAATTTGATTTAATGAATGCGCACAACAGTAATTGAGCAACAATAATTTTTTTATATACTTTCTACTTACTACTCAATATTTGTATTTTAAATGGCCGGATCTTCATGTCGTTATAAAATTTTCTTATTAAATGCGGAGCACTTTCATTAAAGTTGGCCCATTGCTTAAATATCCATACCATTGCAATATGATCGCTAGATGGATGGTACATTCTTTTATTGTTTCTAATTTGAAGCTTGTTATCCAGTATATTGTAAAAAAGACTATCTTCACCAGAAAAAATACTTGCTATTGTTATCATAGGTTGTATGCAGCTATTGTTAAAACGGAAATATTTAGAATACGAAAAATAATCAGATGATTGATTCAAATGTATATTACTATTTATACTTACTCGAAGATAGAAGAATATACCATAGCTTTACTGAATTTAGGATGCGTTGGGAATAGTGCCATTCGTTTGCCTAGAGCCGTAAGATTCTCTTCATCATCCATAACTCCGAGATTTATTAAGGTCCTTACTGCTTTTTGTATTGCAGTTGAAGTAGGCGGTTCCAGAAATCCACCCAGAAATTCCTGCGCCTTTTCGTCCGTGTATGTTTTACTATCAAGAATTACTTTTTCCAATGGATTGCACAACAACTGCGGTATTGGATGCGCCTGTAATTTTTGCTCGTATTCTTCTTTTGAGATTAAGTGATAACTTTCACCAGGTTTAACTCGTCCAGCTCTCCCTTTCCTGCATAACAAATTATCATCTTAACGTAAAATAATTTCAAAATAATATACACATTTAAATGCAATTTTTTAAATATTTATGTTTCTCTCAAATGTAAATAACGAAATTATATAACATATTTACTTATTCTTGATAATTACCTTTGCAGAACGTTTGCTCGAGAGACCCAACAATTCCTTATATTAGGTAAATCTTTGTTATCGTCCCAATGAGATTCTTTTCGTAAGGCAGAATCTACAACGTAAACCACGTCGCTAACCGTAATGCCTGTTTCAGCAATATCCGTGGCCAAGATAATTTTCCGTACACCCTCCGGTATATGTTGAAAGATTTTCCGTTGCTCGTTGTGTGATACTTTGGAATGCATCGGCAAAATCAAATGATTTTCATTGTAGGACGATGTATCCTCAAGCATACTTTGCACCTTCACGATTTCATTCCAACCTGGTAAGAAGCACAAAATAGCACCGGGCGGCTTTTGCGACGAGATCCATTTTATGACTTGTACTATTTTTCCAAAATCAACTGTAAGTTTTCCGACTTCATTTTCATAGCGCTCTCTAGCTACATATGTTTTGTATCTCTTGATATTTGGGAGGTGCTCGATATCCTCCAAGAAATGCATTTTTACTGTAAACAGTCTACCAGGTACTCGTACAGCGGGACAATCGAAATACTGTTGAAATATGTGCGTATTTATAGTCGCCGACATTATCAGTACTTTTAAATTAGGATTTTTCTGTAGGGCTCTCTTGAGTAGAATCATTAGCATGTCGGTATCGATCTGGCGTTCGTGCGCCTCGTCCAAAATGACGTGCGAGCACCCTTCTAAACCAGGATTGGTCTGCAATTTTCTCAGTAGCATACCAGTGGTGCAAAAAACTATCGCACCGAGTTCCTTCGGCAATATTTGTTCTAGTCTCACGTGAAAACCTACAACGTCTCCCACGTGCTCTTTTCTTTCATACGCAATACGATCTGCCAAAGAGATTGCCGAGATTCTACGAGGCTGTGATACCAATATATTGCAATCTGTAGCATTACCATTCTTTGTAAAAGCATCTAGTATAAATTGAGGTACTTGTGTAGTTTTGCCACAACCTGTATCACCCTCTACCAATAGAACTCGATTGTTTTCCAGCTGAGAGAGAATTTCATCCCTGTGAAAAACAGATAATGTATATATTGAAAATTACAAAGCATATTATATCTATATATATAAATATGAAACAAAGTTCTTATATTTTTCATACTTAAACTGGTGAATTGGTAAAGTGACAGCGTCATTGTTACATCTTTCCAATAATCTATCCTTCAAAATTTTATTTCGAAGGAGAATATTCGAGCAACCATTGTCTTCAAGTATCGGATGACGAGTTAACATCTGATACGATGAATTTAAAGTATCTTTCGATGTCATACTCTGTATTTCCTGTATTATACAAATTAAAATCATCAAATATTATACATACTAATGAAATACATTTTACCTTAAATACATTAACTCTGCTGGTCTGCTCGGGGTCTAAAATATAATTAATTTTCTTACTAATATTTTAGTTAAAAACTTTTTCATAGTATTTAATGATTTCGTTCGTTAATGCAAGTTCTTTTTTCTGTAAAAATTTTTGATTTTTTAAAGTTTTTTTAATTATATTGATTTAAACAATAATATAATAAATTTGACTAGACCAGCAGGGTAAAAAATTGTAATGCAAAATTTTACCGTGTTATAAGTCTCGATTAACTTTGTCATATTGTTTAAAATTTCAGGCGCAACGTTTAATTCAACAAGCTTAAATCGCATGTCCCTCATTTCCTCTTCATTATAGATAAGTGGCTTGCCATTTTTTAATTTACCATTTATTTCTAGCCACTGCAAACACTTCCAAGCTGCATTTTTGAAAGCGAGTATTTTGGTTTTACCAATTTCTTTAAAAGACATAACTTCCGGCCATTTGACATTAACAGTAACTTCCCATAATTTAGATTTATTTACAGTAATAATGTTAGTATTTGAGGTTAAAACTTGTTGGTCGTTTAAGTCATGACCTATTATTGTATAAATATTAATTAAAGAAGATTTTGGGTTTGGGTATGAGCGTTCCATTCCTACAATATTAAAAAATTTTATTATGGTAACAAGATAACAAAAATAATTATGTATAAATTATGCAGAGTATATTAAATCGTATGCTAGTTATACTTGCATTAATATATGAAAATAAACATTCAATAGTATATAATATAAATAATTTATATATATATATATATAAATATGCACAAAAACATTTTGTATTTAACACAATCACACAATATACTTATAAAGATGAATATAAAATTTAATACACATAAAAGATAAATTTTGTACTGTATTTCAATTGCAAATAATTTCTAATTTAATTTTTATTTACTAGATTTGAAAATCATTTCGTAATATAAAAAAATAATTTATACATACGTTTTTGGTGCATAATTTCCTTATTAATCCTTTGAGATTTACCATGCTTTATTTCAAATTCATCGAAGATTTGCTGTTAAAATTTTTATTATCTTTAATAATTGAAATTTTATCCCTGTAGTGCATTATGTATTGCTTACCTCTGTTAAGTTTTCCGTTGTAATATTTGCATGTAAACGTTTACTTCTCACATTTTTGTATTCAAAATTCTTATCCTATTTATAAAATAATAAAATAGATTATTCGAAAAAATTATCTGCACAATACACATAATATATACAAAATTATATCTTTAACTTACCCGAGATAAATATTTATCTTCGTCTTTCACAGAAACACAGTATTGCGCTGCAGTATGTAAGTCTCTAATCACATTTTTATTTAAATATATTTTATTTAAACATACATGATACTGGTAAAGCCTATATAACAAAATTATTTTATTATATATCAGAGAAGTAAGTACTTGTATGAACAATCCATTAAAAATAGAATAAAAATTAAATTCCACACTTTGAGAAACTTTAAACATCCAACAGCTTTGTCAATGCAATTACATAAATAAAGCTAATCTATTTCAGTAATCGCTAATTAATCATGATAAATTAGCAATAAACAATCCATTATGTTTCAAATACTACAAAATTACGCTTTGAGAAACTCCGATCATCTATCTGTTTAAAACGCGATAACTGTTTAATCAATGCTATGACACAAATGAAACCGAGACTACCTTAACAATTGCTAATTAACTATGACAAATTAACGAGACAATTGAAATTGAGAAATGAAATACTCTAGTAAAATAATATTTATTATATATTATTGTTATATACCGTCTATATGCTAATCTTTGTCCAGGAAATACTTGTAACGTTCCCAACATTTTTTCTTTGTATATATGTACTGTTTATTTCATATATATATGTGTATTTCCTAAAAAGGAAATGTATTTCCGGGATATGCTGAAGGTTCAAGCAAGTCCTTCGATCTAAAAATAGCAAAAAAATTCAGAGTTTGTATACCTCGAGTATCGTAGTCAAGCCGGGTCAATTCACGTGGTTTGGAGATCAAAGCTTATGTTCTTGGTTATGGACACTTACCGCCAGAATGAACGGAATGATCCAAAAAGTTTGTGACAGCGCTTGCACTCTCTCACGAGGAAATATTGTCGATAATTTTTTCGTATATAGAACAATTAAGACCTGTCTTTTATGTGTAAAGTACCGGTTATGCGTTTTCGATATCTTCGCGTAAATTTTCCACACATCTCCACGCGTCTCGCACAGTCTCGTAAGAGAAAACAGAATTGCGTGAGACATACAACGTGGCGTATAAATATAGCCCAATAATAAAAGATTTACTGGCCGCTAAAGTAACAGACGTTTTATTCTTTTTATTAGTGAAAAAATTTTATAAAATAAATAAAATCTCGCGTGTAACACACTATAGTTTTTGACGACGATAGAAATTATTATTTATTAATGCAACGTTTTCGCGCGTCACCCGGTATATAATTCGGCATTAGGTTAGGGTGAGGTTAGGCTGCATTATGGAGTGGTTCGTCCGTTGCGAGAGCGGCGATCGTATAAAAATTTCAGTATTATAAAAAGACATGCCTTTTATTATCACGAATTCATTTCGTCTCAACTACATCATGTGTGATTTTATTGTAAACGCACAAAGGCAAGGGTAAGAGACCCTAAGCGTTGAAAGTTTTATCTCGCGAGTGGACTTAGAGGTTATGTCGCACGTGAGAGCTACGTTAACCTGCCTGCGGTGACACTTGAGGATCTTCACGCACGGAACGAACGAGAGAATGTCAAACGAGAAACCGTGTCGTGCTTGTATGGACTTCCGGACGTGGGCGAAACGCCAGAAGGAAGTCTACGACTCGGAGAAGGTAAATCGATAGTTTATTGACAAATTCATTGAGGCTTATTATCAATTTTGTGTCGCTATTACTCAAGTGTCGGAACTTATTTCGTCAGAATCCTATTTCTTAGAGACGATTGTTCTTGCTTTTTATGAATTTACTATGACGTCATTATAATAGATCTGTTCTTTTCGGCTGAATTTCTTGTTCATTTTTTTCTTTTTCTCTTCAATGCGAGAATGCGAGAAGAAAAACAGGGAAGATGAACCATGCGAGAAATTCAGCTAAAAAGAAACAGACCTATATTACAAATAACAACAATTACAAATTAATGTTATAAATTATAGACCAGTTCTTTTCAGTTGAACTTCTTGCATGAATCATTTTTCTTCTTTTTCTCTTTATATTAGAGAAGAAAAGAGAGAAGATGAAGGGTCCAAGAAGTTTAGTTAAAAAGAACAGGCTTATAATTTGTATAAATTTTTATTTCAGGAAGTACAAAAGAAACCGGAGCAAACACCGAATGCAAGGAACAATAGTATTCGACAGGATTGTCCTTTGGATAAGGATGAGTTGGGTTCAAAGACTTGGGCTTTCTTGCATACCATGGCGGCGTATTATCCTGATCGTCCGAGTGAGAAACAAAAGGCTGACATGAACAGCTTCTTTCATACACTTTCCAAATTTTATCCTTGCAGTATATGCGCAGAAGATCTGCAGGAGCAATTGAAACACTCGCCACCGCAGATCGGATCTCAGGAAAAATTGAGCCAATGGCTGTGCAGAATCCATAACGAAGTCAACAAGAAACTCGGAAAACCAGAATTTGATTGTAAACTAGTGAATCAGAGATGGAGAGACGGTTGGTTAGACGGTTCTTGTGATTGATAAGTAGCAATAATAGTCTGAATGTACAATGGGACCTGAATACAATACGAATTATTGTGTAAATAATTATTGTAGATTTTTTTCATTGAACAATCTACTACTCTTAAATTTGTTGGTACAATGTACATAAGGAAATATGAAAATGGAAATTAATAGCAATATATGTACTTAAAAAGCTTCCCATATTCAGCTTTTTTTTTCTACAGGGTAAGTCTACCTCAAAATAACAAGAACCGGGAATAAAATTGCATCATGCTTTATTATAAACATCTTCGTGACAAGAGAAAAATTGTATAGATTCAGAACTATTTACATACAAACGTTTGCCAGTGGCAATTCGGTATTGTTAACATTATTCTATTATTTAAATTAGGATTTTCATCTTGATAGACACAATGCAAAAATGTGCACATTTGTTGCATTGTACCATGCATATATGGTAAAAAAATATATTGATAATATAAAAATTTTTTTTAATAGCCATTTTTTGCGATAACAATAGTCTTTTTTGCGATAACTTCTTTAACAGTGCATTTCACCAGTGGTTGCATATCTATTTGCTATATTTGTTTTTTATTCTACACTCCGTGGTCGATTAACATAAGCTGGTGATCGTGTGATAGTAAATGCAGTAGCTGCTCGAAGCGTAGGCTCGTAGCTGTGATCCTGGCCATAACCGCCAATGGGCACAACTTGGAATGTTCTAATGTGGAATGGAAAACGTTTATTATTCACAGACGGTCGAGTTACATATAAAAACATTATGTGACCCAAGAAGACAATGAAGAGGGAACTTCCTTTGGCCACGCTCTCTCTCACCCAATCGTCTACGAATATGGTGTTGATCAATATCTATAGAAATAAAAAGAAAGACATGTTTTATTTTTACAGAATATTTTCTATATAGGATAAAGATAAACAATTATTTCAAACAAATAATTTTTCGTATTTTTTGTTTGAAACAATTTCTGATATGTATGCATACTGTTAAAGGGTGAAAGAGGAACCACACTGATCCCAAGAAAAGTAGCGAACCGTAGAAGTGGAGCTTCGCATGCAACTTTCTGATGGTCTTGAAACAACGAGTGACAAACACGAACCAGGCAATTAATTTCAATGCTATTAAAATATAGCCCGGTAGTGACTCGTAAATGTACAACACTAATCCTGGATCGAATGCCTGAGATTGATATATACACAGCGACATTTGACAAAGGGCAGTACTACTGACAAATAGTATAAGCCATCGGATTTGCGACGCCGTAAGGACACTTTTGGTAATCGTGTAACCGAGAGCGAGTAACAGCATAAGAACTGTATACAGAGTCTCAGAACACGCTTCTGAGAGCTGGCCTAGTAAATAAGCATTCAATGCTGACGCTCCTGTCAGACCAAGATTAATGTAACTATAAAGCTCGCATGACACTCCCAGTAATTGACACATCAGGGAGGCTATGAACAGTTTGTAGGATATGTGCAGCAGCCTTCTGGAGCGCAATTGCAACGCTATGTAGAGACTGAGAACGATGAATATCGTATACAAGCAGGCGGTCGGTATCAGCAATGGCAGTATGTCTAGAACGAGAAATGGGCACAATTAAGGAACGCTACTCTGAGATTCGCCGATTGTCGTGAAAGTCAAATTACTTGCAGAATTCGTCCGCGGAAAAGTGCTCCTTCCAGAATGTACCGGGCAGCGCGTTGGTCAGCGATATATTATACGTGACGTTCAAGCCTTTCGTGGAAGAGCAGTCGGCTAAAACTATATACCACCATCTCGGCCGAGACGAAATGAATCTCCTCCTGTTTTCGCATCGAACTATACCATTGTCATCCTCGACGCATCCCGAAGCGTAGGTTATTCTCGTCAACGTGTTCAATGGTATTATTTGACCATCGTCAATGCTAAGAACACTCTCTTTTTCCTGACACGTCTTATTGGAAGGATAGACAGCGGGCCATTGATATGCTCCATCGTAGTACAGAAGGAGCTTCAAATTGCGTTCTTCACCTCCTAATTGAAAGGAGTATCGGAAAATACCATCCTTCGTTAAAAAACAAAATCTCGCGAGGAATGCCCAGTTCTGAAAAATCACAATTTCAAGTATTCGTCATACGCTATTGTTATCTATATTCTATGTTTTTTCAAACAGATTTACAAATCATTGGAGTCACTGCTTTACTGAAACAATAACAGCATGGCTTCTACATCGAACATTATTAACTACATCTAAAGCATATTCCCAAGTAGCAAAATGACGTCTTAACGTTTTAATGATGTCTTTAATGTCAGTAAGACGTCATTAAAACATTATGTTGCTACTTGCGTTAAGGCTAATTCTACAATGTGCTCTTTGTTTCCTGTTTCTTGCTGTTTATCTCTGTTTGTCTCTTGCCTTTCTGATCAAGAAGACAAGAGACAAACAGCAAGAAACAGGAAACAAAGAGCACATTATAGAATTAGGCTAATTCTAAAAATACTATGCAACAGTTCTTAATAAACACCAACTAACAGTAAAAATTAAAAGATTTATAATTAATATCTATACATATTTTATTAGTGTCAGAAGGACCTCCGCAAATACAGTGAGAGAAAAAAGTATGGAAAATATTTTTACAATTGCCTGTCTTCACAATCCAATAAATAATATATCATATTATTAATATTATAATTTTACACTTAGCAATATAAATGAATATAATGTTTGTGGTATGTAACAGTTACATTGAACGTAAAACTATAACATTGACGTTAGTTATTGTTGGTTTACTGGGTTGCAAAGACACGCAATAATTGTAAAAATATTTTTTCTATACTATTTTTCACTGCATTTGCGAAGAACCTTTCAATCCTTTCTAATGAAATGTGTATTAATTAAAAATTTTTCAAACTCGCTTTTTTCCGACCTATCAAGATTAAAACATTAAATCATTAAAACATTACATCAAATTTAAATAATAAAAAGGAAATGCGATGATATCCCTCGATCGGAAATACAATTCTTATTACTTTAACATTAATTATCGTCTTCGTCGTTCGCTTTATATTTACATTTTAAATCGCACTTATTTAATAAAAATCTACTCATTTTTTTTTTATTAACAGCAGGTAAAAATTCAGTGAAAACTTCGCTCGTACACGTCGCACAATAATATTGACCACACAAGAGTGCCATGGATCGAAACCCCGATGAAACGACTCGCGGTTTCGTTTTATATTTTATTAAAATCAATTTTATTCGGATAATTACGTTGGATGTAATCAAGTTGCCCTGGACTATCTTAGCATCGGCGTGTCGCAGCAACGGCAGGTGCGCGATCGAGAAGAGCAGCAACAGAAAGCCCAGCTTCACCGAGTTCCGCGACGCTCGTGCAACGAGCGTTCCCCCGCACATTACTATACTGCGATCGCTACAGTTGCATACTGTCAGCAGTTAAGCGGCCGCTTTGATCAATATTTCCCAGTGCCATGACTTGTATATCGATTTGATTATTCGCATGAAACGGGTCGACATTCGCGAGATTATTGAGAAAAAGAAAAAAAAGGTCAAGTGAATGCTTCCACACACGAAATTTTGTGCTGTAGTTTCTCTCTTCCGCGTACTTTCTATTTCCTCTTTTTCTTCTACACTGAAAAAATTTGCTGAATCTTAATACATGTTTGAACAGTACTAAGTAAAAACATTTATTTATAATAAATAATTATTTAAATACCTACTATATATTTACTTAATGAAAGTGATAGTTAAATTAATACATACGTTTACATTTAATAAAAATACTAGTAAATATTTACTTAGAACTATTCAAAGAAATATTTATTGAAATTTAGTATTTTTTTCAGTGGAATATTTGAACATATACGTTTTAATTACGGAAGATTTGGGTAAAATAATAATGTAGCTAAAGTTTTATTACTCTATAATACCTAAACTTATGTTGTGTAGCTCGATAGAATATAATTCAATACTTAAAAAAAGAGCTTTTCGAGCTCGGCTTATATTATATGTATGCCGTGATTTGATAACGACATACAATTACAGTATTATACATTGTACTTGGTCTGGAAACCATGATTCCTCTGATGATTTAAATTTGAACAAAAGAACACGATAAGAGTCATATAACCGACATGGATGAACAAGCGAAATGTGATGCGGATGCACAAACCAAACGTACAGCTTTAACCAACACTGAAGAGAACACGTAATATAGATAATAGGAAGCGTCCCTTTTTACTATATCTTAAATTTTTTAGTTGTTAGATAGCTTAATTTTATACATGATAACGAGTAACAGTAGAATAGCAGTTTTTAAATTTATTCATTCAAAAAGATCATTAAGGGTCGAAACGTTTGATATTATAATTATATTATTGTAACTTTTGATATTAATACATAATCACAATATATGTGTACAAGCCGAGTTTGAAAAGCTCTTTTTTTAAGTATTGAATCGATAATTACTTTTTATCATACGGATTGATTATTATCCATCCAGCGCTATCTCACGTTTTTTGTACGATATTGTGTAGATATTAAATTGAAGAGAAAAAGGAAGAAAGAGCAACATTTTTCTACTAGAAAATTTATACTAAAATTTTTATAGAGTGACTTTTACTCCAAAGAATGAAATCTCTTTCATAAAGATTGAAAATTGAACCACTGTTTTTCAAAATTAGCTCAATTTATACTTTTTAGAATGAAATTCCACTTAAAAAAATTTAGAAAATAGATAAACGAAAAGAAGTCGAATATGCACTATAATATTGTTCGCGTGTCCCTGACATTTGCGTGCACGTTGCTTGCGCAACATGTAGTATGCATGTGCAATGCGTTGCATTCTCGCCAGTTGAGCGAATTGATTACTTGTAACACAATGACGAGGAAATAACACTCCACTCGCTGTGTATAACGTATTATATAATTTACTATCTTTAGGAAAAAATTGATCCTTCTAAACAAGCCACCTTGTTTACATTTTTTTTTAATACAAAATAGGGCACGATTACGATAACTGTGGGTCCTCAAAATGAAAGCGATATGAATTACTGATTTTCGGAAACAATCTTAGCAAGGAACACGAGAAAAATAGTAAACAAATTCTCCAACCATTAGATTCCAAATAACTAACAATTAAACAGAAAAAATGAGATGGACTTCGCTTCGCATAGAAAGTCGTGCGCCCCGTAGCAGGGGGGAGGGAGGGTGAGAGTCGAGGGTGAAAGCCACCTAAAACCTGTTGGAGGTCTTTCAGGGTTCATGACCTTTTAGTGGATAATCATTATTTATTAAAAAGTTATCAAATTGAACATAAAATTGAATTATGATTATCAAATTAAATATTGATTATAGAATTTTTTTTAGTAATATTTAAATAAAATAATAAAAGAAATAGGCTCGATAGATTAAATCTATTACGATAAATAATGCCGATATGAATCAACATAGATGTTCGAGTGTAAATTAAGTGTTATTTACACTCGAACATCCTGTGTTGGCTCATATCGACATTATTTATTGCATAATATTTATTTATTAAAAAATATTTTTTTAATGAGAAATAAAAAATTGAAGCAACAGCAAATTTGAAAATTGAATTTTTGGTGGATAATTAATCATAATGAACAATATATTTCAGACAAACCTATATTAAATTTTAAAGATATTAAAACGGATAGAACGATACAATCCGTAGTTGAAGAAAATGCGAATACAAGTTCTTATCATAAAAGTACAAATATGCAACCTTCTCAAAATTACAACAGAGGTAAATGTTATTAATATTAATTTGTTTTATATTTCTGGATTAATATGTATGTATAATTAATCTGTATGACTGGTATGTATGGCCGTAAGCAAATCGGCCAATCACAGTCGAGCGTTTTTAAACGCGAGATCGTAATTTTGATTGTGATTGGTCGATTTACTTGTGACCTTACGATTACGACTAAAATTTTTGTACGTGTGATGGCCTTAAAGGCCATTGCACGTAAAAGTATTAGTCGTAACCGTAAGACCATGAAAAGAGATAAATTGATAGACTACGGGGCAAGCGGTAAGTCACGTGACTGTCTTCCGATTGATTGGTCATAAGGATAAGGCATTAATCGCAATCTTTTGACGGACGAATGCGGGGTCTACAATAGAAGTCGTAGCAGTCGTAGGGTCTCAAATCGTAGAAAATTGACCAATCACAGTCGAATATGAGAAGAATAATCAACTGTGATTGGTCAATTTTCTACGACTTAAGACCTTACGACCGCTACGACTTCTATTGTAGACTCCGCAGAAAACTGCGTCTATGATATGGCTTTGAGGTTATGACGTTTCTCTCGTGTTGCTTCTGCGTAGAAAACGCGACAATGGCTGCGTTCAGCAGAACGTTTGTTTTGCAACTGTTGGAAGTTTCCTTCGCGCTGATTGGATCATACTTTTAGATCTAGAAGAATGGTCCTATCTCAGCAGACAATCATAAAACGGTTGCAAAACTGTTGAGTCTGCTGAACGCAGCCAATACAGTAGTAAGGTTAGATCCTAAAAAACAAGAAAATGATTACAAAAGCCAGTAAACAGAATGCGAAAAAGTTTAAAAGTAAGTTATTACTGCGTACATTAAAAATACACATCCTGAATTATGTTTGAACGAAATTATTTTGTCTTGTAGCGTTATGGGTTCGCTTCGATGCGAACAGTTCCGACAAGCATCAGCTATTTTTCAAGGAACATTCCATAAGAAATCAGGAACCGGAATATCCCAAGAACCAAACTCTCTTTGTGTTGAACGTACCGCCGTACGCTACCATTGATTGCCTGAGGAATGCATTTACTAATCTCTGTGGAAATGTACTGTCTGTTACATTTTCAAATTCGAAAGGATTCAAAACCGCATATATCGTTTTTAAGAAGGAATCCTCTTTAGATAAAGCTATGGAACTTTCAAAGGATTCCGTAATTACATTGAAAAGTGAGAAAAACGTTTGCCTCACAGGATTAGAAAGTAAGTTATATTTATATAACATAATAGAAATAATTTATTTTTCGCAATTTATATAGGTTTGTTTTTTGTAGTTGAACTAGTGTACACTTTTCGAACTTAAAGTGAAATAGATGAAATGTTTGATATTTGACAAAAACAAAACAGAAAATTTAATGCTATCTAACACAGGAATGAAATACAAACTTCATATGTTATTTAAAGTTTGTTTTTTATTCCTCAATAGGCTGCAAGAAAACTTTCTTTTTTGTTTTCACCAAATAACAAATATGTACTTACTTTCATTCTAAGTTCTAAAAGTTTATATTTATATAGTTGAGTGATAGAAAACAAATCTCAGGGCGATATTTATAATTGGCTCTTATATTTAGAATCATTTTAATTACAGTCTTAAGATGTCATGAACCAATCAGATAGCACTGTATTAATATCGTAAGACATTACTTAAGACGGTCTTGATATAAGAACTATGAATACCACCCTTAGTCTGTTTTTTCAGCTGAATTTCTTAAATTGTTCATTTTTCTTCTTTTTTTTCTTTTGGAGAGAAATGAAGAAAAGACGAACGGTGTAAGAAGTTCAGCTGCAAAAAATGGATCTTATTTTTAAACTTATTTTTGTTTAAACAGAATGGTGTAAACAATATAATGATACTTTATATGACGAGCGATTAATGAAGAAAGACATTGAGGAATATATAGCTTCGTATGACAAACAAGTACAGGATCGTATCGCACAAGAGAAAGCTGCAGAGGAGGACAACGATGGCTGGGTAACTGTAACCGGTGGAAAAAAAAGAGGACAATTTGCGCCATCCAGGAAGGAATCTACCATCGGCAAGGTGCAACAGAAAGAGGAACAACGGAAGAAGAAGAAGCAATTACTTAATTTCTATACTTTCCAAATTCGTGAAACAAAAAAGCAGAGTAAGTATAATCATTCATTATTTATAGTACAATTCTTTTTAGAATTGCGTTTAATTTGTGTGGCATTTCTTTCAGATTTAGCGGAGTTGCGAAAAAAGTTCGAACTGGACAAAAAAAGACTGCAGGAATTGAAACAAAAACGGACGTTTAAGCCATTTTAGGTACGTATGTGTTAAATATTGTAAATAATATTAGGACATAACTGTAAGGTTATATATTAAAATCAGTTGCGTTTGGTTAGAATCGTTTTATTTTTTAGTAAAACAAATATACAATTGTCTAATGATCATATTTTTATGTACAAACAATAATCGTTTATATAATATTACGATGAAAATAACTATATTATCGTCGTTATTGTCATCACCGTCGACATTATTATATTAGATTGATGACAAAAATGATGTCGGTTTTTACTGTTTTAAACTTTGGCACTTTAGATTCTACAATATTATGTTCAATTAATGTTCATGTTGCACCATTTTCAAATGTTAATTCCGCTCTGTTAATTGTGTTAGTAATTTTGTTCTCGGTGTTAACTTTGTGATCAATTATTATCATTATTATTAAATATGAAAAAGAAACAATTCGGAGCAATTTTTTTTATACGAGTTCATACTGGACTTTAAAGCAGCGGATGAGAGCATTGAAAATGAAGAGAGTCGGGGATGATCTCCAGTCATTGAAAACGACTTGAAGGCAATTATTGAAATGGATCCATTAAAAATCACTGGAGAGGAATTAATCAACAGTTGTTCGTTATTTGAATCAAATTAGAAAAATAAAAAATCAATATATATATATTTTATATATTTTTACATCATTCTAATAGTTCTTCTCATCTCAAGCTGCTTTAGTAGCATAAGTTTGTAATGTCCATTCTATCAAAAAATGCTGATATGATAATGGTTGTAGAAGGGCTAATAGTTCCTCTGAAACAAACGTTAAATTTATTAATTGTATAACATTTATTATAAACTGGTATTATATACTATATTAGTTACTATATATATAGAATATTATATATATATATACTACTTATTACTACTTAGCATATAGTATATAATTGCTACGTTTAATATAAAGATATATTTATTTTTATATTATATATGTATGTATTAGAAGCATGAACATACGTTTATTTCCATAAATGCAGTTCGCAGACATGGCTGCGCTGACTGCTTGCGCAAGTCGTTCCATAGCTAGGTCACGCAAGACTGTGTCGACGTTCGGACGATTCTGCAGATTCGTTGTCAATAAACGAGTAGTAGACGCCAAATGTTGCGCCGAAATCGCATGCTTGTTGCTACCACTGTTATTCAGTCGTAGCACCGAGTCCATGAGTAACTGTTGAACTTTTGAATAAAATTTTCGCGACTCTTCTCGAGTCTCTGTGTTGTTTGTAGTATCACGCAGAGGACTCAATATACACCATCTGTAGATAAAAAAAAAATAATTCGACACAAACACTTTTGTGTCTTGTATCACCTCTATGTTAAGTTATGGTACAGGAAATGACCTGAATAGGCCCGCTATAGGTGTTATCGGGGTCATTGGGATTCCACCAGTAGGTAATGCAGGATTGTCCATCAGAGGCGTCAACAATAAACTCGGATTTTCGTCAATCCATTCGCCTACCAATCTGAGCAGCTCGGTAGGTGGATCTTTGTCCTCGTAAACTTCACCTATCGCCGTTAGCAGGTTGGCAGTGAAATGCAGAGTGAGCACTGGCAGCTGCTTCAGCTTGTCGATGGATCTTGGAGTAAGCACGAAATAATCATTGAGCACGTGCCTCGCCAGTCCTACGCTCTGCGGCGAGGTAGAACCCAACTGCTGCATCCAAATGCCAGCTGCGTTCAAGACTGCCTTGTTTTGTGTAGCGATTGCCAACGATACCAGATTACCTAGAATTTTGTATCTGGGACTGTCTGCTGGGAAAAGCGACAAGAAGAGAGCATTGCGTACCGCAGGACTGCCACCTGGACTCTGGAAGAAGTCGCTCATGATCTCTATTAGTTGTAGCTCCTGTATTGCTTGTGTCGTGCTGCGTTTTTTTCGCTTCTCTACCTCTCCGAATACAAATTCTGATATCAAATCCATTTGTAGGTCTACTTGCTTGCTAGGTCTGCAGCAAAGTACCTCTTGAACAAATAACAAACAAAATTTAATGTGATTGGGGAGAAAGAAAAAATATTAATATTAAAATATACAAGGTGACAAAAAGGTTTGACTACAAAGTTTGTATGTTTATCAATTTGTATCATGTATCCAGCAAATTGATGCTAAAATAATATTGAAAACTTCATTTTGATATTAAATAACGACAGCCTACTATCTGGATAGTTAATTAAAAAAAAACTGAAGTATATGTGCATTAGTTACATCTTATTAAATATCAAAAAGATTGCACTATAAAAATTTTACTGATTGGAAAACTAAAGACTGCTTTACTGACTGCCTGAGACAATTTATTCGTGGAAAGATGTGCAACCATCATTGATGTATTTCTAAAATGACTTGGAAGTTTATATCAAAGTTAAAGGTTATTTTGGATAATTATTTTTGGTATTTAATAAGATGTAATAAGATGTAACATTCTAGAATTTATATTATAAATATACATTACTAATGATTTAATAAACAAAACTTTTTGGCCAAACTTTTAATCTACTCTGTAGTAACATAGATCTGATATTTTAACTGTATAATATTAAAATATTGAAATGTAGATTTGTACAAATTTTATCTTTGATAAAAACAGAGCACAGCTAAAATAAACAGACCATAGCGTCGAGATAACCTATACAGCTCGTACCGATTCTACATAGAGCTTCCCTGGCGCAATAAGGAAAGTCCAGCTTTCGGAGAGCTTGCTTTACGTCGCTCCCGGACATCGTAACGTGGACGCAATTACCGGGTTGATTAACGCGAAGGAAATCGATCAACTTTCAACATTCAGCGTTTGACAGCGATCATGAGCACGCGCCTGTATGTATACACACGCATGTAGGTGCGCGGTGGCGTGTCGCGGCAGCAGCGACACGCCGGCGGACCATCGCCGCGCAGTGGCGCCACCAGCGAGTAGGTTGCGAAGCGCATTATTAGTCAAAACAATCCGCCGAATTGGTGATCTATTTTTAGGTCGCGCCCACCGTAGCCCACGGTGCTACGCCGTTTTTCCCCGGGAGGCCCCGGAAAAAAAGTTGGCGCGGCCGGTGCCCTTCCGCGACGCCGTCTCGTACCCGCGGATAAGGTTCAACGACCCCCCCTCTACCGTCGCGGATTGTGACAGGCCAGGGAGCCGTGCGGCCGTGCGCGGGCCGGCCATGTTTATACCGTGGTGAGAAATTTTCGAGCCGTGCGCCGAGCGTGCCAGCCGCCGTGAACCACGAGCGGGACTATCTCCACGTGCGCCGTGGAAAGCGCGAGATCCTCGGCCGCGCGTACAAGCCGGTGCCCCAGGAAGGTCCCCCCCCCGGACAGCAGCGGAGGGTCCACGGAATCGACGATGGAGTCCTCCGACAGGGGTAAGTTCGCGCGAGGATAACGCGTGGGAAACGGCGGCAATATTGTGGCATCTGACATGGATCGTGCGACGCCCCCGGGGGGGCAATGGCAGTGTCAGGGTCGAAACGGAACTAGTTCAGTGACCGCATTCGCCGCCGGGAGGCTGGCCGCGCATCCGACGTCTTCATGCCCGCGGTCGACGGACATGCATCCACCGGTTGACGGTTCGTCACGACCGTCGAGGTCGCGACGATCCGTCGACCGCTCCGGGCTCTCCGGCGAAAATCGCCGTCGCTCGATCGAATCTATGTCACGCCGCGCACTTTTGGCCGCGACTGTACCAGCGCGTCGTCCTCCTTCTCTTTCTCCTCCTCCGCCTCTTTCCTTCCTCTCTCTCTCTCTCTCTCTCGCGCTCCTCGCCTCCCCCGCGTTCTCGCGGTCTCGCTCTCGCGCCTCGGACGAGGACGGGAAGAAAGAGAAGAAGAGAGAGAGAGAGAGAGAGAGAGAGAGAGAGAGACCCAGTGTGTGCGCGCGCGTTACGCCTCCAGGGCATCATCCTGCGGATCGCTCACGGGCACGTGGTGAAACCAGCGCCGCCGAACGAAGAAACCCGAGACGGCGATCCGCCCGCGCGGATCCCTCCGTCGTCGGTCTCTCCTCTTTGCCGTCGCGTATAACCGAGAAAGCAACACGGCGACGTTTTCCCCACGCGCGCGCGCGCGCTCCTCGGCGAACCCGTAATCCCGTGAGAGTGCGACTGGCACCGGGCGTTCCGCGTTGCGCAACGCCGCGGCCGTAACTGCGTGTCTTTAACCTACATCGGGACGGCCCGGCGCGGCGCGGAGGGTATACACCACGCGCCGCGGCGAATCGGAGTCACGGTGTCGTTTGACAACGGCGCGCACGGGCCGCACACACGTGAGAATTATTATCGCCTGACCGAGCCCCCTCCCCGCCGACTGACAGCCCGCGTGTCTATCTCTCTCTTTCTCTCTCACACCCCTTCCTCGTGCTCCGTTGCTCCCCGTACCTCTCGACTCCACCGTCGCCTCGCCTCGTCGCTTCGCGTCGCGACGTGGCGACACCTGCCGTCCGCTCGTGCGCGCCCTACCTCAAGCCACCGCGAATTAACCCTCCCGCGTCGTCGTCGTTCAACCCTCCTCCGGTGCGCACCGCAGTCCCTTCGATCATGAATCGAAGCGGGGAAAATTTTGTCGACCTCGATGCGGCAACCTGTCGTGGGGAAAAACGACCGTAAGGTTAAAACTTTTGTCCCGCCTTTGCCTTGGGTAACTTCGAGATCCCTCTTCGTATGATTGAGTGGATTGAGAGAGAGGCAGGTTACTGCGAATTACTTATTTATTCTGAGTTTGAATAATGTATTACTATTGCGAGCCAAAGTGTTTCGATTGAATGTAATAGAAACTATAAAATTCAAGGTAAATTGGTGCTAAAAAATAAAACTGTTCAGAGAAAGAAAACTGATAAATTAAGATAAACTTACGTCCTTGATTATTCTGAATTCTTATTTGTTTTATGTTTGAATATTGTATTATTACAAGCTGAATTATGTTTTGAAAATTTAAGCGTCGGATTATTTTTCGTGAAATATAAGAGAAACTATAGAATTCAAGCAATTAAATTTTAGCAATTAAATTGTGCTAAAAAATATAATTGGTTGGACAAACAAAACCAGTGTTTCGATCGATTCGTTTGAGGGCAAACGTGGAGTCAACTGAACAATTCACAGAGTTAACCTGATATTTTGGCGATTTAACAATCGACGAGTAGCGCAGTCGACTGTCGAATTAAACGATTCGTTCAACGAGTTTGGTATTTCGTTACGCGAAATTGATCACCAGTCAATCCGAGCTATTTTATCGTGACACACTCGCATCGTACTTTATACGATTGATCTGTTATGCCATCCGATTATACATCTCGCACACACACATTGCTCAAATTGCTCATTAATCCCGTTAATTCACGTCGGCCGTTTCAGCGCGAGTTTACAGATTCATGCGTTAATGATAAACAAGTCTCTTGAAAGATAATTTAACTCAACTGTGTGAATTTTGCAGTTTTGGTATTAAAAGATATGATTAGTTTGTACACTAAGAAAAGAAATTATTAATTTGGCTAAATTAATTTAGTTCATCTTTATTTATTTCGACGAAGAATGTATGTATATTTAAGTCAAATATATATTTGATTTTAAATAAATATGTACATTCTTCAAAGAGAGAAATAAAGACGAG